TTTTTATTTTTAATAGCAGCTATCATTCTACCACCTACTTAACACTCTAGTCCTGGATATTTGTCTAGCTTACAAAGTTTTCATTATTCAAAATGTGATTTCACTGGCCTTTGTACATACCTTTAGTAATTTCTCTGATTCACTGGCCTAACTACATAGGAATGAAATTCCTAAACTAAAATATATCAATATTTTTTAAAATTCTTGACATATGTTGCCAAATTTCTGTCCTGAACATTTATACCAGTCTATTTCCAGAAGCATTATGTAAAAGTAGCACCCCTCAAATATTAATACGTGCAATGAATCACCTGGTGTCTTGTTCAAGTTCAGCTTCTGATTCAGTAGGTCTGCAGAAAGGCGTGAGGTTCTACATTTCCAACCCGCTCCCACAGTGTCAACACTGCTGGTCCAAAACCATATTTGAAGATCAATATAATAAAGAGCTTTTTACTTCTTTCAAACACTTTAAAATTTATTTTGCTTGCCTTTATTATGTTTTTGTCAAGACAATGAATACGAAAATATGTATATATTTATTTTATTTGCATTTCTTAGATTTCTAATGATGGCATGAATGCACTATTGGCCATTCTTTCATTTTTTTTTTTTGGAGAGGTTTTTGCTATAGGGCGCGTGTGCTCGCCAGAAAGACAGAGACAGACAGAGAGATAGAAAGCGAGAAATCACCCCCAGAGGGGATGGTCATGCCGCAATCCCTTCTCCTCCATTCTCCTCTCGGGATCTTGGGCACGCACGCACACGCACCCGGTGTGAGTTTTAAGCCACCAGGTCCGGGACACGAACCCTGGTCGACTACATGGGAGTCCAGCAACATAGCCATTATGCTAACTGCTGGTCCCTCTTTAATTTTTTTTAATGCTGTAGAGCACATGTGCTCACAAGAGAAAGACAGAAAGAGAAAGAGAGGGAAAGTGAGAAATCACACTCCAGGAGAGATGGCAATACCACAATCCCTTCTCCTTCCTCCATTTTCTTCTCAGAATTTTGGGCATACACACATGTGCCCAGCATGATTTTCAAGCCACAGGGTCCAGGACTCAAAGTGCACAGCCAGCCATGTATGAGTCCAGTACCTTAATCTCCATGCCATCAGCTGGCCCAACCATTCTTTAAATTTTAGTTTTTGTTTGTGAAGAATTGGATCAACCCTTTACCCATTTCTACATTAGATATCGATCTTTTTATTTTGTATAAGCACCCCTGATAAATTGAGCTTTTTAACACTTTTTATTATTTTTTGCTGCAAGTATTTTTATGCAAGATTGCTATTTGTGTTTGCATTATGTTCATAATTTTATGACCTACAGAACTTTAAAAAAATTTTGTCGTCAGGGTCGGCAGGTAGCATGGTGATTAATGCACTAGACTCCCACATGGCCAACCGTGGTTGGAGCCTGGACCTGGCAGCTTGCTTTGTCACTTTTCCTCTATCTCTTTCTCTCTGTCTCTCTCTAGTCAAATTTAAAAAACAATAATAATAAATTAAATTAGTAATTTAAAAAATGTTTAATGTTGTCAATATTTTTCTGATTACCTTCTTCGATTTTATGCTCAAAAGTTCTTTTCCTACAGAATAGCAGAAGAATAGTTTCTTAAGTATTCTGTTTTACAGAATTACTGAAATGTAGGTATTTAATGTTTCCTGTTTTTGTTATAAAAGTAAATATGTTTATGTGTAATATTTAGATAAATGCAGATAAGAACTATTAACTTTTTTTTTTTTTTTTGGAGAGATTTTTCACTGTAGGGCGCGTGCGCTCGCCAGACAGACAGAGAGAGACATAGAGACAGAAAGCGAGAAATCACCCCCCAGGGGGGATGGTCACGCCGCAATCCCTTCTCCTCCATTCTCCTCTCGGGATCTTGGGCACGCACGCACACGCGCCCGGCGTGAGTTTTAAGCCATCCGGTCCGGGACACGAACCGCGGTCGACTACGTGGGAGTCCAGCGACATAGCCATTACGCTAACTGCTGGTTCCCAAGAACTATTAACTTTTTAACGTATATTTACATAGTACATATTTTCACATGCAGACATTGGTTTAAATATACATTATATATTTTTTAGAAAAATATCAATTTGAAATTTTAACTTACGGTTCCATAAATAAGTTTTCCTTATCTAATGCCAACTAATATTTATAGCACCAATCTATACTATCCCACCATTTGCATACACTGTCATTTATTTAGCTAGTTTTCACATTTGTGGATATTCATAGTCTCTAATTATGAATATTATAAGAAATGCGGAGATGAAAAAAATTACATGCAAATCAACATAATAATAATTGTAAACTCTTACACTGCACAGCCATACGCCAAGCACTAATCTAAGTGCTTTACAAATTTTAAGCCACTTGATCTTCACAAAAATATGTGAGGTATGTATTAGTAACTCCACTTCAGAGTCCAGCTGGTGGCATGGTGGTTAAGGTGGCTGGATCACCCATTGCTGATTATGTGGTTCTAGTCCTGCACCTGACAGCTTGGAAAACACACGTGTTTATGCCTCAAATCCTGAGAGGAAAATGGAGGAGAAGGGATTACAGCATGGTCGTTCCCTCTGGGGGTGCTTTCTAATTCCCCCACCCTCTGGCAAGCACGTGCACTCTATAACAAATAAAAAATAAACAAATAAAATAAAATTTAAAAGCTCCACTGTATGGTAGGGGAACTGAGGCACATTGTAATCACTGAGCTAGTAGGAGGCACAGCCAGGATTTGGGTTGGTGGTTTTACCACTGTATTCTCTCATATTTCTATTATCCAGCAAGTCATTCAGATTAGCACACAGATGTTAGTATGGAGTCATGGTTCTCAAAGTCTGGTCTGGGAACTAGTAATACCGGCATCACCTAAGAACTTCTACTGTTACCACTCAGTGAGGGAGAAGGAAGGGGGCATTGCTCTGGGCCATTGGCCATGCCACCCACATTGTGTGGTTCTCCAGCAAGGAGACAGGAAGCTGTTATGGCTCAAGGGTTATAGTTCCAATCGGCCTCCCCAAATGTGGAAAAAGGATCAGTCTTTTATAGAGGGATCGTTTCTGCTCAGGTACTCAATGAGGGCCATTTATGTAAATGAAGAATTGAGACGTGCACACGTGGATTGGCTAGCTCGAGTTGCAGTCCCATGGGTCCATTTGACTTTCTATGGAAATGAAGCATTGATGGTGCTGTTCCATTGGGTCACTCTGTGGCAGCCAGTTTTTTCCTTCCCTCCCTTCAGCAAAGGTCAGCTTAGTCCACCCAGCCTTCTTATGTATCCTGCAAGCCAACCTACAAAACAGTCGTTAGCGGGCCAGCAGATAATACAGAGGCTACATCACTGGACTCCCACATGGCCAACCATGGTTCAAGTCCTAGACCTGGTGGCTTAAAAATCACTCTGTGTACATGTGCATGCATCCCCAAGATCCCGGGAAGAGAATAGAAAAGAAGAGATTGTGGTGTGGCCATACCCCCATACAGTAATTTTTCACTTTCCCCCTCACTCTCACTTCTCTGTCTGTCTCTCTCTCTCTCCAGTGAGCACATGCACCTTAAGGCAAAAATCCTTTGAAAAACAAAAACAAACAAGCAACAACAACAAAAACAAAACAGTAATTAGCACTTGGTTTTTCTAATTTGGTTCATCCTGACTGGTTACACGCACTCTCAGTCTCCACCCCAGAACACTGAATCAGAATGCTAGTAGGGCCCAACAGTATGTGTTATAACACACCCTCCAGTGATTTGGGTGCATATTCAGGCTTGAGGAGAGCGTGGTGAGAAAAACCCTCAGCAAAAGACCTACAGACTCAACCGGGCTTTGGGATCACTGTTTGAAGGTTTGTGTCTAACACCAGACAGAGTTCAGGTTTCTCATCTGTAAAATGGGGGGACCAGCAGTTAGCATAATGGCTATATCGCTGGACTCCCATGTAGTCGACCGCAGTTCGTGTCCCAGACCCGGTGGCTTAAAACTCACACCGGGCATGTGTGCATGTGTGCCCAAGATCCTGAGAGGAGAGCGGAGGAGAAGGGATTGCGGTGTGGCTATCCCCCTGGGGGATGATTTCTCGCTTTCTGTCTCTCTATTTCTCTCTCTGTCTGTCTGGCGAGCGCACACGCCCTATGGCAAAAACCTCTCCAAAAAAAAAAAAAAAAAAAAAAGGCACAGTAATCACAAGGCCCAGGGGCTGGAAGGCAGTAGATTAGGAGAATGACTTCAATGGTTTATTTGAGTGCTATACTTCCATGATTCTAGGGCCACAAAAACTTAATACATAGCAAGATAAAAAAAATAATTATTACAATTGTGCAGATCTGGGCCAGTGGGTGGCATGGTGGTTGAGGTGTGGACTCCCACATGGCAGATGGTGGTTCAAGTCCCAGACCTGGCAGCTTACTTTCTCACTTGCCATCTCTCACTCTTTCTCTCTCTCTCTCTCTCTCTCTCTCTCTCTCTCTCGTGAGCGCACATGCCCTATAGCAATTTAAAAATAATAAAAATAAATAAAGTTAAGTAAATAATTATTTTTAAAAATTGTGCAGAACTGATTTCTATCAGGTATAGGAGAAGAAATTGAAACAAAGTGCAAAAAAGGAGAATCGAAGACTATAAAACTCCATTTGTGGAGGCCAGCAGGTGGTGTGGTGGTTAAGGTGCTGGACTCCCATATGGTCAGCTGTGGTTTGAGCCCCGAACCCGATGGTTTGAAAATCACACTGAGTGTGCGTGTGTCCATGCACGACATCATGAGAGGGGAGTGGAGAAGAGGGATTGCAGCAGGCCATGCCCCCTGGGGGGCTGATTTCTCACTTTCCCTCACACTGTCTCTGGGGAGCTCCTGCACCCTATGGCAAAAAACAAAAATCAAAACAAATAAACAAAAAACTCTATTTATGATGCTTTATAATAAATGATGTGGTTTTATAATAATTACACTTTAAAAAAATATTGTAATTCTAATATATCATATTTTCTTTAGGTCTCTGAATTAAGACAACAGCTTCGAATCCGGGGCTTGCCGGTGTCAGGCACCAAAACAGCCCTCATGGACCGACTTCGACCCTTCCAGGATTGTCCTGGCAACTCCGTGCCCAACTTTGGAGATATAACGACTGTCACTTTTCCTGTTACCCCCAACACGCTGCCCAATTACCAGTCCTCCCCTTCCACCAGCGCCTTATCCAACGGCTTCTATCACTTTGGCAGCACTAGCTCCAGCCCCCCGATCTCCCCCGCCTCCTCTGACCTCTCTGTCGCAGGGTCCCTGCCGGACACCTTCAACGATGCCTCCCCCTCCTTCGGCCTGCACCCATCCCCAGTCCATGTCTGCACAGAGGAGAGTCTCATGAGCAGCCTGAATGGGGGCTCTGTGCCCCCAGAGCTGGACGGGCTGGACTCGGAGAAGGACAAGATGCTGGTGGAGAAGCAGAAGGTGATCAACGAGCTCACCTGGAAACTCCAGCAGGAGCAAAGGCAAGTGGAAGAGCTGAGGATGCAACTTCAGAAGCAGAAAAGGAATAACTGTTCAGAGAAGAAGCCTCTGCCTTTCTTGGCTGCCCCCATCAAGCAGGAAGAAGCCGTCTCCAGCTGCCCTTTTGCAGCCCAACACGGATCTGTGAAAAGACAAAGCCACGGCTCGGAAAGTCAGTCACTGGCTTGTGAGGCCGCTCAACTCCTGCCCCTTGCAAATGCTCACTGCGTGGACTCCTCAGGTCAAACCAATGTGCTCTCGTCCACATTCCTCAGCCCCCAGTCCTCCCCTCAGCATTCGCCACTTGGGGCTGTGAAAAGCCCACAGCACATCAGTCTGCCCCCATCACCCAACAACCATTACTTCCTGCCATCATCTTCTGGGGCTCAGGGAGAAGGGCACAGGGTCTCCTCACCCATCAGCAGCCAGGTGTGCACCACACAGGTAAGGGTGCCCTGCCCCATACCCAGGGCATCTTTCATGCTGGAAGTATGATACAGATTTCCAATCGCTAAAAAGTTCATGTTGGGACCATCCGATGGCGTAATGGTTATGTTGCTGGACTCCCACATCAGTGACTGAGGTTTGAATCCCAGACCCAGTGGTTTGAAACTCATGCCAGGCATGTGTGCATGAGTGCCCAAGATTCCAAGAGGAGAGTGGAGGAGAAGGGATTGCAGTGTGGCCACCCCCCAGGGAATGATTTCTTGCTTTGTTTCTCCAGTGAGTACATGCACCTATAGCAAAAATCTCTCTTTAAAAAAAAAGAAAAAAGAAACCTAATATTAGGGAATTCAATGTTAATGATTTAACCAAAAGCCCAGCAGCATCCCAGACACTTAGGATATACAAGCATTCACAGTAAACCAAATTCACTTATCCTCTAAGACAGGGATTAGGAAACTTCTGCCACAAAGGGTCAAAAATATTTTGACTGTTCAGGTCACATTGTCTGTGTCACTGCTTAACTTTGTCCTTGCATCAAGAAAGCAGCCATAGGTATCTGGTCAACAAATGCCAATGAATGCATCCCAATAAAACTTTATTTACAGAAACAAGCCCTGAGCAAGATTTGACTTGTGGGCTGGAGTTTGCCAAGCATTGCCTTCAGGGTGCCTTGGTGGTAAACCTTATCATAAGCCAAACCAGTTCTTCTCAAGAGGGCCAAAGAGGAAGTTACCAGACCTCACTCATCTCAATGTAATGGTCTGAATACTGCAGATATTTACTGAGCTCCTGCTATGTGTCCTGTTCTAGTCTCTGGGGATTCATACTGAACTAACCACACAAAAATACCTATCCTCATAAGAATGGACAGATAGTAAATAAAACAAAAAAGTAAATTATAGGGGCTAACAGTTAGCATAATGACTATGTCACTGGACTCCCATGTAGTCAACCGCGGTTCGAGTCCTGGACCCGATGGCTTAAAACTCACACCGGGCATGCTTTCCCAAGGTCCTGAGAGGAGAATGAAGGAGAAGGGATTGCAGCATGGCCATCCCCCCTGGGGTGGGGGTGATTTCTCGCTTTCTGTGTCTCTGTCTCTCTCTGTCTGTCTGGTGAGCGCACATGCCCTATAGCAAAAACCTCTCAAAAAAAAAAAGTATATTATATAATGCACTAAAAATTGATAACAGAGGAGGATGTAGCTGTGATGAGTTTGAATGTTTACAACTTTAAATACAAGAGCTCTTCAAAGTTTGTGAAAATGTGTATTATGGAAAATGACTGTGCTGATTGCAAATTTCTCTCTCTCTCTCTCTCTCTCTCACACACACACACACACACACACACACACACACACACACACACAAAGCCCTTATTCTTTAATTACATTTTCTCATAAACTTTTTGAAGTCTCCTGTAGAAAGACCAGGGACATGTGAGTCAAACTTTGACAGAGGGAGAAGAGAAAACCTTGTGAATATTTGGAGTAGAGACATTTACAGCAAAGGAGGGACAGCAGGTACGAGGACCCTGAGGTTGGAGTTTGTGTGGGATATTCAAGCATCAGAGAGAAGGTTTGCGTGACTGTAGTAGAATGAGAGGAGAGCTGTGGGAGATGACTTTGGAAGTACCTAATTCAAATGAAAGAGAGGCATTGTATATCCCCACTCAATATATACTGAACGTCTGCAATGTGTGGCAGAAACTAAAATATTGGACCGTATAAAGGCATGGAGAACAACTGTAGTACCAGAGAGTGTGGGAGAAGACTGAGAAATAGGGGAGGGTGAGAAGGAGGGAATCAAAGAGAAAAAAAGAAAGAAAGAAAACAGTTAAGAAACACAAAGTAGAAAATTACCTGTTGAAGATAATAGGTATGGTAATATCTTTGAGCAAATCGTCAGTGTATTCTGAATGGGAAAATTCATTTTGTATGCTGTAATGATATACAGTGAATGAATATCAAATACATTTTAAAGAAGAAAAATAAAATAAATAAATGAATAACAAAGAAGAATGCCTAAATTCAAAGACTAGGCAAGATGACCACCAAAGACCTTCCTTTTGTCCATGAAGCTAAAGAATTCTTAGGGCAGTCTGTGAAAAGTCTATATGAGAAAGAAAATCAAACAATCAAAAAGTTCTGAAATCTAAATGATTAGAAAAGGAATAGGAGGAAAACGCACATAAATTGGATATCTGCCAAGTGCCACATATCGAAAAGCATGTGTACGAACACCGTAGTCTCCTAATTTTCACAGCAATCCTATGAACTATAATTAATTATTCTCTATTTACCACTACAGAAAACAAGGGTCAGAGAGGGAAAAGCAGTTGTCCAGGGTCACAGGTGTGCAGGATTAGTTGATTCCAAAATTCATGCCCCTTTTGTATTGAGTACCTCTCCCCTGGAAGCATGAGGTAGGGCCAAAAGTAATGGGAATAAATTTGTGCAAACCTACCAGAACGATACATTCATATGAATGATGCCTGTTCCTGAGGGAGCATTCTGGGAGGAATTGAGACTTGAATGGTTTATTATCGTCATTAGCAAAGATTTAGTGTCCTAGCGACAAGGGTAAAAATAGCTCTGGACCCTAACTTGCAAGTCTGATATTTTTGATGCTAACATTTGTACAGTGATTTATGGTTTATATAGACTAGACTCTCTGAAGGGCTGGCCCTGTAGCCTAGTGGTTAAGGCAGCTAGATCCCAAATAACCCACTGCACTATTAGAATCCGAGCCCCAGTGACTTGGGAAACACCAGGCACATGTGCATGTGTGCCTCAAATCTCACTGAATGGTGGCGAAGGGATGGCAGTGTGAGCATTCCCCACAGGGATGCTTTCTCCTCCTCCCTCTCTGGCACTTTGGCTCTCTCTGGAAAGTATACATGCCGTCTGGCAAAAGAAAAATAAATAAATAAAGAGACTCTGAAAACATGAACAATTTTCTAATGAGAAGATTCAGAACAATGTAGGATAACAATTTGTACTCATCTTAAATGCTGCACAAAGCAAGTAGGTCAGGGGACAGACTGAACATAAAGAGCTATGAAAGTCCCGGAAGGTTTTATGAAGGGGTTGGATTTTTATGGGAAGTAGAATGTTAAAAAGGAAAGAATTAAGACGACATTCCATGTGAACAAACATAGGTAAGTAGAATGTACAGGGTGTGTTGAGGAATGTTAAAGGCAGGAAGGATAGAACTTGAGTTTGCAGAAGTAAATAGCACAAGGGGTCAGCAGGTGGCATGGTGGTTAAGGTGCTGAACATGACCGACGATGGCTCGAGTCCTAGACCTGTTGGCTTGCTTTCTTACTTTCTCTCTCTCTCTCTCTCTCTCTCTCTCTCTCTCTCTCTCTGTCGCTCTCTGGTGAGCACACGTGCCCTATAGCAAATTAAATTATCATAATTTTAAAAATTAAATTAATATCTTTTTTCAAAAATGTAAAAGTAAATTGCACTAGGCTGCAGAGTCTTGAACACCAACCCCGGTGACAAGTAGAGACTCAAGGCTGTGGATACGCGGGAGCCACTGGAAGTCTTGAGCATTAGCTGATTATGTACAAAGCCAGATTTTAGACAAGTTTCTGGTAATGGGATTCAGGAAGGTTTGTAAAGATAAGACTCAGGGCACACAAGGCAGGGACCAGAAAACCGTCAACCAAGACTACACTCCAGCATGCTGCTACTCGTTCTTTAATTCATTGCTTCTTCCTTTCCACAGAACTCGGGGTCACATGATGGCCATCCTCCAAGCTTCTCTCCCCAGTCTTCCAGTCTCCACCCTTCTTTCTCCGGAGCTCCCACAGAGAGCAGTCATGGTACTGGGAGCAACCCTTGTCCCAAAAGCCCAGGTGTACAACACAAGGTAGGGGCCTGGAAAAGGTTTCAACCTAAGATGGACTTTGCCTTTCTTCCCTTCCTTAGCTCCCATCTTCCAAAAAGAAAATGAAGTTCAAAGGCAGAAATAAATTTCATGTCAAATACATTACTCGAAATGCATTGAGACAGGTGGAAGACAGGTCTCCTAATAGCTCACAGGAAATTAATATTATAAAAACACTATAAAGGGGCCAGCAGGTGGCATGGTGGTTAAGGTGCTGGACACCCACATGGCTAACTGCAGTTCAAGTCCCAGACCTGGTGGCTTGAAAATCATGCTGGGTGCATGGATATGCATGCCCAAAATCCTGGAAGGAGAATAGCGGAGAAGGGATTATGGCATGACCATCCCTCCTGAGAGGTGACTTTTTATTTTCCACCTCATGTCTTTAGCTAGTGCACATGCCCTATGACAAAAACCAACAAAAATTTAAAATTAAAAACTAGTAATAAAAGGGCCAGCAGGTGGCACAGTGGTTGAGGTGCTGGATTCCCACGTGAACGATCACAATTTGAGTCCCAGACCCAGTGGCTTGAAAATCACAACAAATAAATAGATAAATAAATAAATGTATATACAATAATAAGAATATTTAATTAATTAAAACACTATAAAAATAACCCTGTAGCCCAGTGGATAAGCCCTGTTCATAGGGAGCTGTATCCCACATGGCTGACTGTAGTTCAAATCCCTGACAGTTTGAAAAAATAAGCCAGGCATGTATGTATTTGTGTCTGAAATCTTGTAGGGATGGAGAAATGGAGGAAAAAAAGTGTGACATAACCATGCCCCATTGAGGGGGTGCTCTCTTTTTCTTTCTGGTGAGGGTAAATGCCCTCTCGCAATAAAATATACATATAGCATGAATTTCTTTTTCTTTTTCTTTTTTCTTTTTTTTTTTTTTTTGCACCAGAATAAGCTAATTCTTTAATTTCACAAACTTTTTGAAGTCTCCTTGTACAAATATGAGTTAGCAGACTCTTCAGGGAGTCATTTCCTGGGATCATCCCAGAAACCAGGATGACTAAACTGGCTGTGGTATGTTTGCAAAACAACATAGACAGCAAACTAGTTTCTGTGAAGGTGAAGGATGGAACGAGGGTGGGCAGGAAGATAATTCTGAGAAAGTAGAAGGTGCATGGGTCCCTGGGAAAGACCACAGAGGTGCAGGAAGTTGTGGCCACAGTGAGATATCTCTGTGGGAAAAGAAGACATGACACATATCTGCTGGCTGGAGAATTGGGGGTGAGAAGAACCCAGAATCCGGAGAGTTCTAAGGAGCAATGACAAGGTGGTATGAAGGTCATGACATCACAGTGCCACAGGTCACATGTTGGGAAAGGGACAGAGACCGTGAAATGGGCTGGGCACTCTGCAGAAGAACACGCTTCCAGGAAGCACAGCTGGCCCATGGAAAGAAAGCCCAGCAATGCCTCAGCTCTGCACATATGCCCAGCAATGGAAGGACCTGGGACACACTACTCTGTCAATCCCTGGGTTGACAAACTTCATTGGATTGGATTAGATTGTTCCCCTATTTCATTTTCTCATCTTGTTTTCTCCTAACAGAATAAAGTGCACCTTAGCGGTGGGGGAAGAAATCTACCACCAGCATAAATCCACAGCGAGATGGCCTATTGCTAATACTGGGTTGTTGGAAGTCATGCATATTTTTCTATGCATCATGACTTTTCCAACAACCCAATACATTAGAGTTATTTTCTAAGCACTGGGCTTTTTTTATTTATTGGGTTTTCTTTAGTCTTAGATCAGTTAGCCTGTAGGTGCTGGAACAGAAGTAGTACCATTTCTGATCCATGAGTTGAATGCCTTTCTCTGTATTGAACCCATGCAGATGGCTGGTTTACACCCTTCTGGTAACGCGGGGCCAAAGTTCCCAATTCCATCCCCAACTTTTCCTAAGTCAAGTTCAGCAGTTTCAGAGATAACTCAGCCTCCATCCTATGAAGATGCCGTAAAGCAGGTAACCGCATGCTTTGTTCTTTATGAAAGAATAGGCTGGGCATTTTCCATCTTATTCCATGGCATGCTGTTTGTAAGTGCTAATACTGAGTGTGCCAGGTGCTTCCCCGCTAGAATGAGCGAAGTCTGTAGACACTAGATACAGAAGGCTGTTGCGTGGTGTGGAAGCTATGTACGGCCGCGAGAAGAGGTTGGGCTGGCCACTCAGATGCCTCCGTTCCAGCCCTACCACCTGCTATTCCCACTGAGGTTGGACAGGTACTCAACTTGTCTTCTGTAAAGTAAGGGTGATAGCCACTTGCCAGGATTCCGGGTAATCTAGCACTTACCACATCCTCCAGGCATATAGTAGGTACCATATTGGGATCAGCTGAAAGGGCTCTATGCATCATGACTTTTCCAACAACCCAATACATTAGAGTTATTTTCTAAGCACTGGGCTTTTTTTATTTATTGGGTTTTCTTTAGTCTTAGATCAGTTAGCCTGTAGGTGCTGGAACAGAAGTAGTACCATTTCTGATCCATGAGTTGAATGCCTTTCTCTGTATTGAACCCATGCAGATGGCTGGTTTACACCCTTCTGGTAACGCGGGGCCAAAGTTCCCAATTCCATCCCCAACTTTTCCTAAGTCAAGTTCAGCAGTTTCAGAGATAACTCAGCCTCCATCCTATGAAGATGCCGTAAAGCAGGTAACCGCATGCTTTGTTCTTTATGAAAGAATAGGCTGGGCATTTTCCATCTTATTCCATGGCATGCTGTTTGTAAGTGCTAATACTGAGTGTGCCAGGTGCTTCCCCGCTAGAATGAGCGAAGTCTGTAGACACTAGATACAGAAGGCTGTTGCGTGGTGTGGAAGCTATGTACGGCCGCGAGAAGAGGTTGGGCTGGCCACTCAGATGCCTCCGTTCCAGCCCTACCACCTGCTATTCCCACTGAGGTTGGACAGGTACTCAACTTGTCTTCTGTAAAGTAAGGGTGATAGCCACTTGCCAGGATTCCGGGTAATCTAGCACTTACCACATCCTCCAGGCATATAGTAGGTACCATATTGGGATCAGCTGAAAGGGCAATACTTCCTAAGGTTTACCTAGCTGTTAAAATGAATGACTGTGGTAAAATATACTGATGGATGTTGAAGCCAGGTAATTAATGGAGGGAAGTTCATTTTGGCCTTCACTTTTGTTTGCATTTGCAAAGTTGCAAAATAGAAATGTAAGATAAGAAAACAATGAGCTTCTATTTGAAACCGTCTCAACTTGGATAAGGTAGTCAATAGGCCTTTGCCTTTATACAAAGGGACTTCAAAAAGTGTGTAGAGAAATGGAAATGAAATATGATTTCATTTTGGCGCAAATTTTTTTTTTAATTTACACGTGGTTCTTTTTCTTTCTTCTATTTCCTCTAGTATTTTTTTTTTTTTTTGACAAAGGGTACATGTGCTCCCTGGAGAGAGGGAAAGTGAGAAACCCCCCCTGGGGGATGGCTAAACCACAGTCCCTTCTCCATTCTCCTCTTGGAATTTTGGGCATGAACACAATGTGCCTAGCATGATTTTTCAAGCCTCTGGGTCTAGGACTCAAACCATGGTCAGCCATATGAGAACCCAACATTTTAATCATCATGTCACCTGCTGGCCCCCACCTCCCACACATAGTTTTTTCTATTTTTTTCTCTTTGTTATAGGTAGTGTATGCTGGCTGGAGATAGAGAAGGAATGTGAGAGGTCATCCCCTAGGGGGGATGGCCACACCACAATCTCTTCTCTTCCATTCTTCTATTGGGATTTGGGGCATGTACTCACAGTTGCCCAGCATGGCTTAGGACTTGAACTACACTTTTGGTTCTATGGGATCTAGCCACCCTAACCACCATGCCACTGTCTGGTCCTAGTTTTCTCATCATACACACTCTCCATGAACTTTTTGAAGACCCATGTTTGTGCTCAACCCAGCAAAGGACATTTAGATTAGTTGGTGCATGCCGGTATCCCATAGATCTCGTTTGGCTTTAAGACTGTTTTAAACATCAGGAGGTATTATGCAAAGCGGTTTTTCTCATTTCTAAAAAGTTAAGGGATTTGGCAACATGAGAGCCACATTTCTGCCAGGCAACGATTGCCTAATGCAAAGTACCCCCTGCTGCTCTGAGCCCCAGCCACACTCTGCCCACCATGTCGCTCTCTTAGTCTACGTCTGGCTCATTTCTATAACCAGGCAGACCCTGCAGGCAGCTGGCACCTTCTACACTGGCAAATGACTCATTCTTTGAGCAGAGCTCCCATCGTATTGATTATTGATGCCTATGTTTATTGAGTCTGGGCTCTCAGAGGCATAAAATAAATTTATGCCTTTATTCTCCCTATTCCTTTTCCCTGGTAATTGTAAACATCTGCAGATCCTTCACAGTTTTAAATAAAAAGAAAAAGGCCAAGCAGAATGGACTTCCAACAATAAGACTCACTTAAGAACTCAGATGAGGGGGCTAGCAGAAGGCATAGTGGCTAAGGCAGTGGACTCCCACATGGCCAACTGCAGTTCAAGTTCCAGTTCAGCAGCTTGAAAATCACTCCAGGAGCATGTGTATGCATACCCAAAATCCCAAGGGGAGAATGGAGGAGAAAGATTGCAACGTGGCCATACCCCCTGTCTCTGTATCTCTCTCCAGCGAGTATACACACCCAGTGACTAAAATCTAAAAACAAAACAAAACAAAAACTTAACCAAACCTAGTTCAGAAACCTGCAGTGCTGTTTGTGACAATTTCCTACAGAAGTACGCACTCCCTAACCACTCTGCTCTCCTTTGGTTGACTTGCAATAGCAAATGACTCGAAGTCAGCAGATGGATGAACTCCTGGACGTGCTCATTGAAAGCGGAGGTAAGACTGCCCATGTCCTGTCCACCAGGATACTCAGCCTGTGCAGATGAGCTCTGGGACCAAAGTCAGGAGCACACTGGGTGTCGGCTGCACCAGGAGCTCCGCTGGTGGAGAATCTTTTCCTCCCAGTTCCCTGTGCTCTTTTGGAGCAGATGTAAGAAAGCGTATGGAGGGGTCTTCACTGCCTTTGTCCTAGAAACCTTTTTCTCCAACCATTTTCACAGTTTTCTTTCTCTTGCCCAATCTCTGCTTTCCTAAATGTATTCTCTTGCTACATCATTTATTTCTACTGTTTTAATCTCAATGCCCCGTCTTCTTAATAAGAAGAAAAAGAACAAAGTGCACAAGGAATGTTTGGTGTTTCCTACTCAAAATGCAATTGATTTAGTGCTCTTCCACTGGATGGTCCCTTCATGTGTAAATATTATTCAAGCTAATAGCAATCAAAAAAGGATCAATATATTCTTCTTGCATCCTTTTAATCCTTTCATTAATTTAGTTTAAAAAAAAAAAAAACGTGGAGAGGTTAAGGCACTGGAGGCACTGGACTCCACTTGGTCAACTGGTTCAAGTTCAGGATCCAGCAGTGTGAAACTCACATCACAAGTGCAGGCACGCTCAAAATCCCAGGAAGAGAATGGAGGAGAAGGGATTGTAGCATGGCCATCCTCCCTGGGGGGTGATTTCTTACTTTCCCTCTCTCTGTTTCTGTCTGTGTCTCTGGCAAGTACACACACCCTATAGCAAAAAAAGTGGTTGCCTCGGGAAGTAACCCCACCCCAAAACAAAAAAAAAAAAAAAAAAAAAGGCAAAAAAATCCTTTAAAAAAATGGTGTGTCTAGAATTTAAAAACACACAAAGGAATATGATGGCAAAAGGAGAATGTGTAGGTAAAAGGAAAAGAGCTCAGGGCTAAACCCTTCAAGGACAAGTGACATTTTAGAGAAGGAGACAGAAAAGCATTAGAGAGGGAGTGGGCAGAATCAGGGTGGACCAGTGCTGGGCCAGACAACGTCTCCACCTTAATGGAGTCTGTGGCCTGGTAAAGAAGATGGACAACAGGGAAGAAAGCAGACATTTCCTCCATGGCAACAGAGAGAGGAAAGAGATGGCACAGCGGTATGGGTGTGTGTGTGTGTGTAAGTTTTATCACAGAAAATTAAGAGTTTGTATGACATACCTTTATTTTTGCTTGTTTTGTTTTGTTTTCAAGTAGAATCAATGCTTTGTATTTTGATCAATAGAACAGATCCTGGGAGGAAGTGCAAAATGCAAATCAAATGACCAAAAAACAGCATTAGTGAACTAGTGGGACCAGCAGATGGCACAATGGCTATGTCGCTGGACTCCCATGTAGTCAACCACAGTTTGAGTCCGGGACCCAGTGACTTAAACGCATGCTGGGTGCGTGTGTGTGCGTGTCCAAGATCCCAAGAGGAGAATGGAGACGGGATTGTGGCATGGCCATCCCCCCTGGGGGGTGATTTCTCACTTTCTATATCTCTGTTTCTCTCTGTCTTTCTGGCGAGTGCATGTGCCCTATAGCAAAAACCTCTCAAAAAAAAATATATATATATTCCTGAACTAGCAACAGGTGATATTCTTCATGTCTGTAAAACCTTGGAGCCACATAGCTTATTTGTTAGCCAAAGTCCCTGCCAGGTTCCAAACCAGAAAAGATTCTAGTTAGCTTCATTTCTAGATGCCCCATCAAAATGTTCTATGAGATCTGGGACATTGTCATCCTCCTCATCGGTGTCTTCTGGTTTGGTGATTTGCTATCCAAAACTTGCGGTGGAAACTGTTCAGCTGGTTTTCTAAGGCTTGTTAAGTTGTCTGCACTAGGCTGACTTAATATTCCTGGAAGCCGGCCAGCAGGTGGTGTGGTGGTTAAGGTGCTGGACTCCCATATGATTAAACATGGTTTGCGTCCTGGATCTGGTGACTTGCTTTCTCACTTTCTCTCTCTCTCTCTCTCTCTCTCTCTCTCTCCCTCTCTTTCTCTCTCTGATGAGCACACATGCCCTATAGCAAAAACTTAATAATAATAAGATAAATAAATAAGTTTAAATTTTAAAAACATATTCTGAAGCCAGCAGATGACATGGCAATAATGTTGCTGGACTCCCACATGGCCAACTGCAGTTCGAGTCTCTGACCTGGTGGCTTGAAATTCAAGCCGGGTGAGTGCATGCCGGCATGTGTGTCATTGTCCAAGATCCAAGGAGAATGAGGGAGAAGGGATTGCAGCATGACCATCCCTTCAGGGGATGATTTCTCACTTGCCTTTTCACTATCTTTGTCTCTCTCTGTCTCCAAAAAGTACACATGCCCCAAAGCAAAAACCTCTTAAAAAAAGAAATATATATATATATATATATGTGTTTCCCAGGAAGCATTGTTGTAATTGGTTTGTCTTCTACATGCCCAGTAATTGCAAAGATGTTCGCAGAGAGGACAGCTTAAATTTTGGGACTCTTGACTCCCATTGTCTTCAATTATGTTCATCTCTTCAATACCAGCTGTATTATTCACTGCCATTTTTTTTTTTGAGAACATTGAAGCTTTTTTTCATCAGCTGTTCTCTGTACCACCTTCTTTTTCTGCGACCTATACCCTTGCGCCCTATCCAGACCTGAGCCTGAAGTTTGGCCAACTTTCCTTAATTCATGCTGTTCGTAAATCTGAGGCAGGGAGAGTCCTCCAGCATGAACTCACAGAAAGAGCAATATGGCTGCTTCGTTATTTTTATTTTCAACGAAGTATGTAGCTAGGTCAGCAGAAAACAAGGCTTTAGAAGGAGAACTAGGGAGATTCAAGGAAAGATTAACGTTATGAACTGGTCATGAATGCATTGAGTTTTGAGAAAAGCATAGTAGGATTGTCTGGCAATATTAAGTGCCAGCTGGAGGCTCGACATCATGAATTTACAGTGAAACTAGTTGGTTTCATTGTTTATGGTTTCCTCCTGCAATATACAGCTGATTCAGAACAGACTCAGAGAAAGTGATGACAAAGTTCACCCAGGTTAGAGTTTTGCAGAGGGATGAAAGGAGAGAAGAGCAAGGGAACTGAGAGTATCTGTAAGAGAGTAACTTTTTTTTTTTTTTTTTTTTTTGGAGAGGTTTTTGCTATAGGGCGCGTGCGCTCGCCAGAAAGACAGAGAGAGACAGAGAGATAGAAAACGAGAAATCACCCCTCAGGGCGGATGGCCACACCGCAATCCCTTCTCCTCCATTCTCCTCTTGGGATCTTGGGCACGCACGCACACATGCCCAGCATGAGTTTAAGCTGCTGGGTCCAGGACTTGAACCGCGGTCGACTACATGGGAGTCCAGCGACATGGCCATTACGCTAACTGCTGGTCCCAAGAGAGTAACTCTAATGGAGGGTCGGAGAACATAGACTGAACAAGGAAAGAAGTGAAGACCAGCAGAGACTGATGGACGTTGACAAAATAGCAGTCAGTGGATTGGAGTGACTCTGAGTGGTGAGAAGGGATTGTCATGGTGTACTTAATATGTGAGCTGAGGGGGATGTAAAGGGAGAGAGAGAAGTGGAACGTTTTGCATGAAACTGAGCTTTCAGAAGGATGCAGTATATGGTCATGACAAGGTCCAACACAGTGGGAATGTTGGAATCACTGTAGTCGAGGGGAGTTCAAGGAACTGAGAGGCCACAGAGACACTGGGTGATTCCTGAGGATGCTTAAGTCACAGAGAATAAGAAGAGTTCACGTGGGAAAAGGCAATAAACTAAAGGTAGAGTTTTCAGTGGGTGAGAAGGAGTGAGGGGTGGAGAGAGCAGCATGCCCCTCCAAACCACTGAGGAGTTGTAAGAAGGAGTGAGAGCAATGACCACAGAAGAACAGCAGGATGGCACCTGGTCACTCCTCTTCTGGCCTTGCAGCAAAGGAGTCCCCATTGAGGATACAGCAAAGGCTTTGATATCCTTGGGGGACAGCCAGGGAACAGGGAAGTGGTGGGCAAAGAAACCTATAGATAGCAGTTGGTGTAATGGCTATGTCACTAGACTCCCATGTAGTTGACCACAGTTCGAGTCTCAGACCCAGTGGCTTAAACTCACATGGGGCACATGTGCATGCATGCCCAAGATCCCAAGAGAAGAATGGAGGAGAAGGGATTGCACATGGCCATCCCCCCTGGGGTGTGATTTCTCACTTTCTGTCTCTCTGTCTCTCTCTCTGTCTTTCTGGCAAGTACACACGTCCTATAACAAAACCCTCTCTAAAAAAAAAAAAAAAAAAGTTTTATCATCACAGAGTGGAATTTCCAGAACAAAAGGACTTGGGGAGCGACCAGAGGGAAGAACTGGGAAAATACAGAACAGTTTAGGAATGAGACTAGGTAATGAACCTCCTCAAAAAAAAAAAAAAAAAAGTTTTATCATCACAGAGTGGAATTTCCAGAACAAAAGGACTTGGGGAGCGACCAGAGGGAAGAACTGGGAAAATACAGAACAGTTTAGGAATGAGACTAGGTAATGAGTGATGGCCAGGGGACCTAGCCATCCTCTGTGTCTAAGTACTCACTAATTCCATGTGCCATGCTCCATTTGAAGCGAATGAACAAATCTACATTGTGTTTTATCAACAGAAATGCCAGCAGATGCCAGAGAGGATCATTCATGCCTTCAGAAAGTCCCAAAGATATCAGGGCTTTCTCGGAGCCCTGCTGCCACCCTCTCCAAGCCCTCAGCTTCCTTTGAACAAGCACCCTCCGGAAGCCAGCTCTCCTTTGATCACTATGCCACCGACAGTGAGGAGCATCTTGAAGTCTTATTAAATTCCCAGAGTCCTTTAGGAAAGGTGAGCGATGTCACCCTTCTAAAAATTGGAAGCGAGGAGCCTCCTTTCGATGGGATCATGGATGGATTCTCTGGGAAGGCTGCAGAAGACCTCTTCAATGCACACGAGATCTTGCCAGGTCCCCTGTCCCCGGTGCAGACACAATTTTCACCCTCTTCTGTGGACAGCAATGGGCTGCAACTCAGCTTCACAGAATCTCCTTGGGAAACCATGGAGTGGCTGGACCTCACACCACCAAGTTCCACGCCAGGCTTTGGCTCCCTGACCACCAGTGGCCCCAGCATCTTTAACATCGATTTCCTGGATGTCACAGATCTCAACTTGAATTCCCCCATGGACCTTCACTTACAGCAGTGGTAGAATACCTGGTGCTCCAGGGCTGAGGAAGACCAATAGCAATCCCATGGGGGAGAGTATACAACCACAAATACTTACATTATCCAAAAAAGAAGAAGGGAATTCAAAAGAAGGAATGGAGACTTCAGTGACAATCAAGAAAAAGGAGTCTTTTATATATGATAAAAACGTATATATAATGTAATATTTGCCAACATGCAATAATGTATTGACGAAAATGTGTTTTCTCAGACAAAGGATGCCAAAAGAAATTCTTTCACTGCCTTTTCAAATACCGGTATCATTTTTTAGCCCGTCATTTTCCTCAGGCATTGTTGGGGCATAGCTCATGCTGTAAACTTTTCTCATCAACTTACTGTGGAAAGAAATCATAAAGTCTTTTAAGAGCATAGCGAAGACACTCCCTCACTGGTTATGGAACACCTGTCCCAGTGAAGGCTACTTCCTAGGTCTTCGTTACCTGCTTTTCAAAAGGCAAGTCAGGCCCAGCTTCTGTTAGGGAGTTCTTGAGACAGAAGAAAGGGACAGAACTGAGCTATTCCCAGGGAGGCAAATCAAGTCAATGTCCCTCAGCCACAAAACTGCCTCCGTGAAGTGATTCTGCTTCTGTACCCCTCCCCTGTGTTCACCGATAATTAGGTTGAGTTCAGACAACTCAATCCAAAACTTTTCCCCTTTTTAACCAGTAGTCCAGTCACTGTCACCATCTCTGTGCTGACAGGCATTATGTAAAAGGTAAGAACCCCAAAACAAGAAAGCCTTCTGCCACGGAGACATGCCTCAGGCCCTCCAACACAAACCCCTTCAGTTCCAAAGACTAGAGATGACCACGTGGGTCGGCAGAAAGCTATCTCTAGGCACAGGGATCATTCAGACAGGCAAGAGGACATTGTTTCCCAAATTCTGGGAATAAACACCGCAGGTCACTGTAAACTATCACTTATAGGAAGTCCAATTTCTTTTTAAATTTGTTTTTTCCTTTTGGGGGTGGGGGGATGGCTCTACCCTACTTTTAATTTTTTCCCAAGATATCAATCCTTTCTTGCTCCTTTTTAAATAATCCTTCTCTTTCTTCCCAACATTGGGAGGGAAGAGCTTCTCAGATCTAACACGCTGCTGTACTTCTAATAAAGCCATTTTTTAAATAGTTATAAATCCAGGTTCTTCTGGAGAATGTATTCTCCATATGCACTGCTCACTGTGAAAGGAGGTTGTGAGAATCTCCTTAAGAAGAAACTGGGGATTCGGCCCATCGGTTGCTGAGCTCATTCTACTTTGATTTGATTTATAAGCAATTCTTAACTTGTGTCGCTCTGGGGGAATTGGGAAACATTATATTGTAAAGGTAAACATGGCTGATATTTTGGATCTGGGTTTCTGAAAGAAAACACAATTGCACATGGAACGTGATGGAAGGGAAAGGCAACGAGTGAATGTGCACTCCTCATTGCCTCTCGGGCTTTGGCTGGGAGTTAAAGAAAAACTCAAATGGCAGAGCCGTCTCTCTAAGGCTCCCTGTGGCTTCAATTCACCATTTTATAGTGTTGCACGCATGCTGTAGAAAGTAGCTAATGCTGTTTGTTTTTGTTTTTGTTTTGTAATTTAAATCACTAAGGCACTGTTTTGTTCTTTTGTAAAAAAAAAAAAATGTTCACCGTGCACTAATAGAGAAAATAATCAAAAATGTTGTGATTTTAGATGTTCTCATTTTGATATGCCACAGATTTAGAAGTCATTCCGTTGTTAGCTTGTAAAACTGTGTGAACACAAGTGTTTTTGGTGACTGCCACTCTGAAAGCTGCCAGGTATTATTCTGTGTGTGTGTGTGTGTATATACATATACACATATACATGCACACATGTGGGGACACACATGTATGTGTATATTATGTATGTGTGTATACATGTATGCATACACATATATATGCACATATGTACAAAACACATGAACATACATATGTGCACATGTGTCTTGAAAAGCAGTGTTAACGGAGTTCTGTGCCAAAAGCCAATCTGCTGTGAACGATACCTGGTCTTTCTCACTATGAGTTCCTGACTAATCAACCGACTACACGTTGCCTCTCTGTGTATTGACTGACGGCTCCAACCTGATGATGCACAGCCTCTGGCTCACCACAAACAAGTCCTGCTAGCAATGACTACAGATGGGAAAGACAGACCACTTCATCCTTAGCAGTGGAAACAGTAAAAACAGTCTCTTGCAGAAGGGCAAAAAAAAAAAAAAAAAGAACATGAAAGTCGTTTTACATTCCTGGAACTGTCTTGTGCTTTAAAAGATCGATATGGTAAATTTCATATTCTGCCTTTATGTCAGTCATCAGAACTAAAAACTCAGAAGAAGAAATTACCAGTCTTTTCTTCGAAGATGAAGCTGTGGGGAAGGAAACCTTATTGACACATTCCACACATTTGCTGATTCCTCAGATGATGATGTGTTCTTTGGGTCTCGACAAAGCTTCCTGGTCAGTACACTGTCCAGGTGCCACATTTTGCTATTTGTATGTTATTTTTTTCTTCCTTTTACTTTCTTTAGAAAACCAACTCACTCGGTATCCCTATTCTGAGACTCTGGTCTGAATGTCCATTATTTTTTTCTTATGGGTATCTCTATCAGAGGGAATTGACCTGGTTCTGTGGCCCCTGTAAGTTGCCAGACTGTGCCTTCCCACTGGGATCTTTGCAGGATCTTACTGGAAAGACTGAAAGACATGCCTCACAGAAGAAGAAAGAATGAGGAGGTTCCTGTGTCCTGCTGCCAACCCACACGGCCAACAGAGCAGATCCCTGGATAACCTCCCACCGTCTCCCTCATCATCACCCTATCTCTTCATAGCTCAGACGTGAGATTTGGGGAAGAAAACTGGAGATGATTGGGAGAAAACTGGTGAAGTTTGCTGCTCCCAGTGGATCAGATCATCCATGTTCATTCATCTGTCTCCTATTGGGGATTTTTCTCTTTTTTTTTCTTATTTTTATTTTAAACTTTTAGTTATGTCCTCTTTTGTGGTGACAAATCAGGCATGACTAAAAGATGTGCAGAGACTTAGGAAGATGACCACACTCAAATTTCTTACTACTTCTAGAGCCTAAGATGAGCGTGTGTAGTTTCCCTAAGACCCCTGGGACGCCAGGGTGACATAGACCTGCAAACATCCCAAGTCAGGTGGATTCATGCAAGGGGTTTTTAAAAAGTTCATGAAAAGTGCGTATGATTTTAAAAAAGGAACACAGATTTTCGATTATTTTTGCGTCAAGATAAATTGCATCAAGATTCAATTCCATTTTTATGAACTTTTTGAAGTCCCTTCATATTTATCCAGAGCATCAGAAAACTCACAGATGTGAGGGATTTTTGTAAGCCAGTGCTCATTAACAGTGCCCCGCTTATAACAGTGCTATTGAGGCAACGCACAGTCTAAGGGAAATAGAGAGGAAGAGAATGAGGGAGGAAGGAAGAGAGGAAGGAGAGGAGGAAAGGAAGAAAAGGAAAAAACCAACATTCTGAGCTATGACCCTCTCAGTTCAGCTAAGACGTCACATGATGAAAAGTGAATCACATTTCTAAGTGAGAAACCATTCCGCATAGCGCAATGGTTTCACCAGAAAATGAAGAAAACTCCACCTGAGTTGTCCAAGGTTTGTGAACTGGCAGCCTTTCGCCATTCAAAAACATTGATTTCCAATCTGAAAACAAAGAGTAATGAAACCTGTCCCAAGCACTTCAGATAGTCCTTTCCAACATTAACGTGTTTTAAATTCAATCATCTCTTCTAGAAAAAGTCTGGGTGAAAACTCCCACATCAGATTTACTCACCCAGGGATAACTTTTTGATACCATGCGCAAAGCACACATATTTTCAGATAGCCGACTGTGAACTGAACGAGCACAGAGAGTTCAGATGTTGAGCGATGAGGGAGCTGTAGTCACCGTAAGCAAGAGCACTGGAATCTCCCTGTTTTCAAACTTAAAAACCTTTTGGCAATAAGACCAGATATATGGTTTCCCGCAAGGAAGAGTGGACGGTCCTTTTTTTTTAATCTAAAAGCTCTCTCTTACACTAAGATTCTTGTCCCTTTCTCTGTGGTCAAATAACAGTAGTCTTTCTTCTTGAGGATTTTGTAATATCTTCCACCATTTAAAACATCTGTGCAAGTTTTAGGATTTGTTTTCATTGCCAGGTATAGAAGCCCCTTGAAAATAAGGGAAGGGTGAAGGAAACTTTTTTTTTTTTTTTTTGGTCCTATCCATATTCTCTGTCATGGTAACAAGCTCCTCAGACAAAAAGCACACTTGGGAGGTAGGGAGTGGTCCATGATGGGCCTGTCCTTTCAGAGAAAAGCTTCAAAGAGCGTGAAGAAAATGTGGCTTCCCCTGTGGGCCTTTCTTTGCTGTATTCCTCACAGTGAGAAGCCCGCACATGTTTGCACATTGCTATCGGATAGGAGAAAACTCAGATGAAAAGCATCTGGGGTGTTTGTTTCCTCATGCATCCAGTGCAAACCAGCAGGGGGGTTCAGATGCTAAAATTGCTAATGCTTTATTAGACAGATGATATGAACAGACACAGAGTCCAGATCCTGCAACAAGGCAGTGCTGTAGTGAGAGCTGATCAGTTGTGTTAAGGAGTTGGGTTCAACTCTAGAGTAAAAGCCTTGGCTAGGTTGGGTATCTCCATGGAGAGATGATTTCAAGACAGGGATCTGAAAGAAATGTGTTCTCTGCCAGAGAGATTGTAATAGGACTCATTGGATTCAATAACATATGAATAAATTTCCTTCTGATTCTAGGAGTTGGCCGTTTTTCCTACGGATTGAGACAAAACCAGCAACAAACAGTAAAAGCCCTGAATGTCTCCTATGCTTATTTTAACCATCCTCTCCCATAATGGACCCTGGTAGCATGTGTTTCCTATAAATGGTTTAACAGCTAGCTCCTGAGTGTTTATGGAAAAAGAGAGTAAAAAGACAGGGATCCTGGGAACTATTTTAGTGTTTTCCAAAGGCATGGAATGGAACCCACACTGCTCCCCGGGGTTCCTTTCCAATAGGTCTGCAGTGAAGATGGAAGGCGGTGTACTGCTGCGTGTTTAAAACCCTCTCCCAGTGACGCACGAGGAGGTGCTTTGTAAAGAGCAAGAGCAGCAGGCACATGTTCTCCGCAGGACCCTGTAGAGGGTGGTGTTTTCGTGTTGGTCTCCTTTGCTCAGATCCGCATCATCAAAAAGAAATGTGGGATACCGGGAAGAGAAAAGAATCGATGGCTAAAATACCAAAGTTGGCATGTGTTCTCTTTTAAAAAAAAAAAAAAAAAAAAAAAAGTGCATATATTTTTAAATAAAATGTTTATTTTAAAAAAAGAAGTAAACCTTTCTTCTTGTCCAGACGATGTACAGTCCCTGTGCTATGCCTTTGGACGTGTTATTCTCTTTTATCCTCACAGCAGCCTCATAAAGTGGTGCTATTATGATTCCCCAGTTTTCAAAGGAACACCCTGAGAAGCTCAGAGAGGCTACGTAAATCGTCCAAGGTTACATCATTTTAAAAATGGCAGAGCCAAGGGTTAAACTTGGATTTGCTCATCTCTGAAGCCCTGATCCCAAGTAACACACTTCCTGTCTATACTTGCTAGTGATCAACGCATAATATGAGAACTTTTTTAGAACAGATTCTCATATGGGGGTCTTCAACAAGTTTATAGAAAATGTATGTTCTGAAAAAAAAAAAATACATGGACTTCAAAATGTTTCCACCAAAATAAATGCATGCTTTAATTCCATCTTCCATGAACTTTTGGAAGCCTGCTCATGTATGTCCATAAAACATACACACACAATTCACACAGCTTAGCCAACCCAATGTTTTCTTACAACTAGAAAGAGAATGAGGGTAAGACTCCCACTCTCTTTTTTTTTTCTGCAAATAATATTGTAGACTAAATTGGGCATCAAGACCACCTGTAAGCCAGGCAAAACCATCCGAAGTAAGACACGGTTTGTATCTGCTCTTGTCTCCTAAATGTATTCCTACCTATGATTTTTTTCATGCATTGTCTGTGTAAAGGAATGATGATACTATAAAAAGAGCTTCAAATGAATGGGAGTTTAGAAGAGAATTGATCTTGGGACCAGCAGTTAGCATAATGGCTATGTCGCTGGACTCTCATGTAGTCAACTGCAGTTCGAGTCCCAGACCCGGTGGCTTAAACTCATGCTGGGTGTATGTGCGTGCATGCCCAAGATCCCAAGGGGAGAAAGGAGGCAAAGGGACTGCAGTGTGGCCATCCCCACTGGGGGGTGATTTCTCGCTTTCTATTTCTCTGTCTCTCTCTGTCCTTCTGGAGAACGCGAGTACTCTATAGCAAAATCCTGTTAAAAAAAAAAAAAAAAAAAGAGAGAGAGAGAGAGAATTGATCTTTCTCCATGCCATGGTTCTGCCTGCCCCTGCATTGGTCCTACTTTCTGATGGGCTCTGCCCACATAGAAGCAAGGTCACAGCTTAGCAGCAGCCCCAGGCATAGAAATTCCAGCAACAAGGGAGTTTCTTATTCCCAAGCTTCTGGGCAGATGGCTTGCCCCTTAATGGCTTGCTCCTT